CCGGCTTTCGTGTCTTTGCAGGGGAAATCAAGCGTTTCAACATGGGGCCATAGTCTAAAGGCAGCAGGCGGGCAACCTGGCTCCTCCAATGCACAGTGGCGAGATTGGTCTCGTCACAGTAAGAATTTGATTCTCATTGAGGAAACGAGTTCAGTGTTGCACAGTAACAAGTTGTTACTGGAGTTGTAGGTGTTGTTTAACAGTGTGCACTATAATACACTGTGAAAGATCTCTTGTACTTACCTGTGTGCCTTCAGTTATATCCTCTCCCTGCTGTTTAAATGCTTGTATTCAGTTCGTTTGATTATGTATGTGAAAACTTGTATTTGTCTACCGAACGAGAGACCACCTACCCTGGGTAGCAATCGGCATTAGAATAGGGAGAAAAACACAACTTAATTGCTCCTGGGTGGCCGCGATTCGACATACCAACACGTGGCGAGAACAAAGGATGGCGGCCATCTTAAAACTCACTAACGCGGTCAGCGGGGCATACGCATGAATTGCCTGGAACTATTTTCGGCAAGGCAAACATGCGAACGCCTGGTCTTCATGGAAGTCCTGGATGTATACGTTCCCCTCCACGAATCAAACTGGCATTCAGTAGATAGAATCTACTGAACGAGGGGAACATTCACATGTAACCAGCTGCACCATGCGAACAGTGATTTTCGTGTAGTTAGATGCGAACGGAGACCGGCTCTTGCTACTGATTTCATGGAACTCTAAATCGGATACCTCCACATGGCGAGCCGGTCAAACTTCCACACGATGCGACACGGAAACTACGAACGGAAATTCATGAGATTTGGATATGTGACTACCAGTAACCTCAGCTACCCAGGGATATGAATGTTATATTTGTATGTATCATGGAAAGTACTTTTCTGAAATTTTTAAAAGTTATAATGTTTCTGGCCAGCAGATAATTGAGCTTTGTGTATTGCTGAAACTCAATTATCTAGCCTGGCCCAGAGGAGGAGTTTTGTATCACATAAATTGTCCTGTGTGCCAGTAAAATCAGTCTTGTTCCAGCATTAAGCTTTGGCTCATGTGTGGATTATTTGGCGATTCCAGGGATATTTCTACTTGTGGAGTATTGGGTGATTTTCTTTTATGGGAAGAAGGGAATGCTTGATTGTGATACCGTATACTACCGTCACAACTGGTTGGCAGCGGCGGGATTTTCCCTTCTATTTTCCCTTGCACCAGGATTCCAAGCAGACACTGGGAACCGTGAATAGAATTCTTGTACACCCTGCTTAAAAGAAACACGCTAAAAGAACTACTGGAAGTTCGTGGAAGGATTGCTAGCAACAAAACAAAGCGGGTCATTATAGCAGAGTTAATGGAGCTAGACCGAGAGAACTTGGTTGCAGTAATGCCGACTGTTCAGGAGATAGAGACACCAGTGATTCAGGAGGAGGAATCATCAACCAACAAGGAAATGAGGGAGAGACTAGCGTGGTTCGGTCCGAACCCAACGGCTGACATTGTTCTGAAAGTACTGAACCTTGTAGCAGAGGAGGCTAGACAAAAGAGAGAAGCAGGGCTGCAACTAAAACTGGCAGAGGTCAAGCGGGCAGCAGCAAACTCCCCAAACAGTGAGTACAACACAGCGGATACAAGGAAAATTCCTTTCAGCGCTTTTAAAGCTTTCAACGAGAAGGACTGTGAGATTGACAATTATTTAGCTGATTTTGAGCGACAATGTAACCTGCACCGAGTAGCTGCAGATGAATGGGTTTCGATATTGGCAGGAAAGTTGTCAGGCAAAGCCTCTGATGCTTTCCGGGCCGTACCAGAACAGGAGATCCACAGCTACGCCAGGGTTAAAGAAGCGCTCCTGGCTCGTTATGCGGTAACCCCGGAGTCCTATAGACAGAAGTTCAGGGACTCACACAAAATGGATAAGGATTCCTACGCAGAATGGGCCTGCCAGTTATCCCTGTCGGCATCTAACTGGGTCAACAGTAGCCAAGCCACCACCGCGGATGATATTTTGCAACTGATACTCCTGGAACAATTCTACGACCATATCCAGGCAGATGTTAAAGACTGGGTGAGAGACCACAGGCCGATGTCTCTACCAGAGGCCGCCAAGTTAGCAGATGAGTATGCGGATACTCGCAAGACCACACGGGTCACACCACGGGTTCAGCCTCCGCGACCAACGGTACCATCACACCCAGCAGTGACCAGGTACCAACCTCCCAGCCGACCGGTAGCCTCTAACCCCCGCTACCCACGACAACCCGACAACGAACTACGTTGTTACTGTTGCAAACAACTGGGTCACATGAAACAAAATTGCCCCAGGGACGCCGCCGCCAGGTCAAATTGGACTCGACCTGGGTACCATCAACCACCAGCAGCAGCTCATTGTGTAGACTATACAATACCATCTGCCTGGGACCCCAGGGAGCTGAGTCAGGAGGAACCTTTGGGCACCCTTTATGAAGCACTCATGGTAGAATCCACCATAACAGACAATCGGAAACACCATTGTCAGCTAGTCATGGTTAACGGGAAGACAGCACGGGGGCTAAGAGACAGTGGCGCTACCATCACCCTAGTGCAACTACATCTCATCAACGCATCAGAGAAGACCGGGAAGTCTATTGCTGTGAGAGTGGCGGGGGGGCAGTGTATCACATTCCTACCGCACAAGTGCATCTAGACTGGGGTGCGGGAGCTGTCAATGTTCAAGTGGGCGTGATGAAAGAATTACCCTCTGAAGTCGTGTTGGGCAATGATCTTGGTCCTCTGACTTCGGCGTTTGCCTCAACAACCCCTCAGGAGGCCAACGCAGTAACTACCAGAGCACATAGTCGCACTGCGAGAGCCATCCGCATCCTACAGAGACCCAGGTAAGCCAACCTGACCCACCCCTGACTGTAGGGTTAGAGAAGGAGCAGTTTATCTGGGAAAAGTTGTACAGGCTCACCGGTTGTACAGGCTCACCGAGACACGGGTCAACGCACCCGTGCCTAGGCAAAAACGCCAGCTGGTAGTTGTCAGGTTACCTCTGGTGTCTACCTCGGAGGAGGTTAGACACCTAGACGTCCATCCTCCTAGGGGGGCTGACTCACCCGATCCTCGCAGTCCTCCCGGCCGTTTACACGCCGGCCGCGATAGCTCCGCCTCCTTTTATGACGCGGCGCTCAGTAGCCGACGTCATGACGGCAATCACGTTCCGACCCGTCAATCACGGCAACCAAGTGCCGAACAACGAATCAGGACTCGTTGGGGGCGGGGTCAACAGTTAAAGAGCCAAGGTATAAAAGAGGGTTTTGTGGAATGATTCATTGCCCTGTCGTGGTTCTAGCTAGTCTGTTCACTCAGTGCTCTTACCTCTATTGTCTTTTGGTTCCTGACTCGGCTTGTATTTTTGACCCTGCTTTCCTCTCTTGTCCTTTTGACTCGGCTTGTCTCTCGCTTACCTACTCTCTCGTTCCCTCGACCTCGGCTTGTCTCTGACCATTCTTTGCTTTCTCCTTACGTTAGTCCGGCCATTCTAAGGTCCGGTATACGTACCTATCTCCTGTTTGTATTCTGCGTGTTGGATCCCTGTCACGATCCTGACAGTAGTCCCACGGAAATACCGTCAGGAGTTATTAAGAATTGGGCACGATGTTCCTTTAGCGGGACACCTGGGAATATGCAGGACGTTATATAGGGTAACCCAGAACTTTTTCTGGCCTGGGGTATCCGACGACGTCCGGGCGTATTGCCAGACGTGCGAGGTGTGTCAACGCATAGGTAAAAAGGGAGACCACCCGAAGGCTAAACTAGTTTCCATGCCCATAATAGAAGAACCGTTCATGAGGGTAGCCGTGGACATCATAGGACCCCTGGCCCAGCCTAGCCGTTCCAGTAAACGTTATATTCTCACTGTGGTAGATTACGCCACCCGTTACCCCGAGGCTGTGGCACTTTCTAATATACAGGCTGAGACGGTGGCGGATGCCCTAGTCAATATATTCTCCCGAGTGGGCTTTCCCAAGGAAGTTCTGTCCGATCAAGGTACGCAGTTCACGGCCGAGGTGACCCAGCAGATATGGAAGGTCTGCGGAGTTAAATCCCTGACTAATTCCCCATACCACCCCCAGACTAATGGCCTGTGCGAACGCTTCAACGGGACACTAAAGCAAATGTTGAAGTCGTTCACGGGAACGTATAAGGATTGGGAGCGATTCCTGCCACACCTTCTCTTTGCCTACCGAGAGGTGCCGCAGGAAGCAACCGGCTTCTCACCCTTCGAACTTCCCTATGGGAGACGGGTGAGAGGACCCTTAGATCTTATCAAGGACCACCAGGGGGGAGGGGACCCCGGTTGTAACTTATGTGCTGGAACTGCGGGACCGCATGGAAGAATTAGCCCAGACCATGCAGGAAAACCTCCAGGCGGCCCAGCAGCACCAGAAAGTATGGTACAACTGACGGGCTAGGCACCGGAGCTTTCAGATTGGCCAAAGGGTCATGGGGCTAAGACCGGTCCGAACGGACAAGCTCCAGGCCGCCTGGCAGGGCCCCTATATGCGACACTACCTACACCATAGCTAGCTGCGAGGATGAAGATGTGAAACGAACCTTTCACATCAACATGCTTAAGGCCTACCAGGAGCGGGCGGAGGAGATGACCGCTATCTGTGCGCCAGCAGGAGAAGACACAGAGGCCCTACCTCTCCCTGACTTATTGGGCAGTAACGAAGGGACAACCCAAATAGAAAAAGTACAGCTAGACGAACAGCTGGAGCCCCAAGAGAGGGCCCAAGCTATCCGCTTACTAGAAACCAAACAGGCCACATTCTCCCAGGAGCCCGGGTACACACTCCTAGCCATCCACAAGGTGGAAACTCCAGGGCATGCACCCCTGAGACACCCTCCTTACCGTATTCTGGAAGCAGTACGAGAAGGGATGCGGAAGGAAATTGACAAAATGCTTCGGCCTTGGGCCTCGCCGGTAGTCCTAGTACCAAAGAAGGACGGGACAACCCGCTTCTGTGTAGATTACCGGCGGCTCAATGACAAGACAGTTACCGACGCCTATCCAATGCCACGGATGGATGAACTGCTTGACCGTATCTCTGCAGGGAAGTATCTGACCACAATTGACCTATGTAAGGGATATTGGCAGATTCCCCTGGCAGAAAATGCTATACCCAAGTCAGCCTTCATCACCCCATTCGGCCTATACCAATTCCGGGTTATGCCATTCGGGATGAAGAACGCCCCGGCCACCTTCCAACGGATGGTGGGCCATTTACTGGGAGGGCTCCAGGACTACGCGTGCGCCTACCTAGATGACATCGCCATCTATAGCGATACCTGGGAGGCACACCTGGAACACGTAGGGATAGTATTAGACAGGATCAGGGGGGCCGGGTTAACCCTGAAACCAGACAAGTGTAATTTGGGTATGGCGGAGGTACAATATTTGGGCCACCGAGTAGGGTGTGGTAAACAACGGCCGGAGCTGGCTAAGATCGAGGCCGTTGCCAATTGGCCCACTCCCCATACCAAGTCACAAGTCATGGCTTTACTGGGAACAGCCGACTATTACAGACGCTTTGTACCAGACTATAGCGCCCTGGCCAAGCCCCTGACCCACTTGACCAAAAAGAAGTTACACC